TCAAAACGTTTCGCGTGGCTCCGGTTACACCGCACCGTATGGTTATACAGTAATTGGCATGATCAAGACCACTCGTGGTTAATTTGCCCAATTACATCGCAAAAGGGTGCTATCAGGCGACATGGCCTCTGGATTAAAACGTGCTAGGTCAAGGGTAAGGAGTAAACTGATATTGCGAACTGCAGCGTTGGGAACGTTAGAATATGCCGCGGCTGGTTGTTTCCGACTGCTCACGACGTTTCAGCAAGGACGGTTTGAGACATGACGTCGAGATAAAGGAAGCGAATAGGAGTAATTCTGATACCCTAGCTTTGTCCGCCGTGGAAAATGATCGCGGACATTTGTGTGACCAGTGACCTTTAACCGGGTGGCTCGCGCTTGTCTAACACCACCAACCGCCGGCATTGGCGTACATCGACGCTATGATGCACATTGGGGCGTGCCTAGCGGAGGACGGGACAGGGGTGTACCCAAGCAGGAGAGCTGAACGACAGGCAAGCTGCCCGCACAATACGCTTGTTTGAGAAGCGTTGAATTCGTACCTACCGATGAAACATCCTGCTGCCAAGCGTTTTCGAACGCAGTTGTTGAACGCAGCAACGGAAAAACTTCATTTTGAACGCTATGGAAATGTTCTGTTCATACGATTATTTTTTGCGCTCATTGTAAACGTGTGCATAGCCCTAGGCCGTAAACCACGCATTGGGAGAAAGCGCTCTGCCCACAGAATACTTTTGCCGATCGTGTCATACTCTTTTCACAGGTATCGCTGCTGTGCATTATATATGTTTTCTTCTCCCACCCCTCGGCTGGTCAAGCTAGACATCCTTTAAGAAAACATGAGTTTGATACATTTTCGCTGCATGTTTCGATAGCTCGTACTCAATTCACTGCTGTCATATTTGCACGAAATGAGCAATTGTATCGTTTCAAGCGTCTATCGATTGCAGTCTTCCTGTATGTCCGAATATTTAAGATAAATTAAATGGACAGTTGGGGCTCAACCATGACTTAAATTCCGACCAGGAAACCGTCTTTGATCCCAATTTTTGTACCCTTGGGTATGTGAGTTGTCTGTTTTAACACTTGTTCGGAGAATCTTCATTCAGCCCGGTAACTGCACAATTTTTGTCTAGTCCTGAAACAACTGAAAAGAAGGTTTCACAACACGTGTTCAAAGGTATGTATGTCTATTTCAAACACACACTTTGCAGAGGCAAGACAAAGCTTCTTTTATGTCTCAATAAAGTTCCGCGGATGAAATTATTCACATGCACGCCTCTCTCAAAATTTCCTTTTTATTCTCCTCAAGGAAAAACTAGTATTTTGTAGAATACCAGCTCTTGCATATGAATCATGCGTTCCTCTTTTTCATGGCATCACAGACGCGCGTCGGACCCGTCTTAAAATCATGTGACGTCATGAGAAAAACTGTGGCTTGTATAGTTATAACCGAGAGCGCTTTAATTGAAATCCGACCCGGCTTGCTCGTCGCATTGTAAGTCACACCCAAGGTGAAATGTTTACTGAGCCATCTTAAGTGTACTGGAAGACAAGAAAGGTACAATCGATAAGAGACCGCCAATCGTCTACAAATGTGATGAAATGCGTTGCATGCTAGGCATTGAAACTGGCAGCCAAAAATTCGTTGGGCTCCTCTTCTCTAGAAAAGTGGCCAGCGTGATCAGGCAGGATTAGATGGGAGAAGAACGCACGAGTGTGACGGCGGGAGTTGTCGAAAGGTATGTCGGATTGGTATGTCGGAAGGTATGCCGGATTGGTATGTCGGAAGGTATGTCGGATTCACCCGAAGCACGACGAAGGCAGACGCCGTGTGAACTGACCATGAAGGAGCGTCGTGCCACCGCCAGGTCTGTTGCTGCCATGCCTAGCAACAGGCGCCGCGTGCCAAACTTCAGGCCGCGGCTGGAGCCTCTCTGCGAATAAAGTAGGGTTATTGCGACTGAGCGTATACAGTCTGCCATATCATCTCTTGCAAACAGGCCGTCAACAGGCATCATACACTTCGGTAACTAGTTTAAAATTGTTGTATGAACTGAAATCGCCTAGGAGGTATTTGGAGCAGAACTGATTTCAACTTCTGAGTTCCGTTTACATAATCATAACAATTGTTAAGTCAAGACTGCGATCGTGTGTACAAGTGCGGACCATTTTCTAGTAGTGTCAGATCCCTGCAAGAGCTGGTATGCCCCCTGCTGCCAGGTATGCCCTCCTTGGCTTGCAACCGGCCGTGATGGACGATTAGCCGCTGTAATTTCTGCAAGGACAATCCTGACTGGCCTAGACAAGCCACACTTTTACAGATCGCTATCCTGAGAAGCAGCGCCCAGGCTCAAGAGGAAGCCGTGAGCTATCCGCTGTTCAAACGTTCACGATATCTTAAACTGGCTGATAACACAGACATTGTTCCGGCTTAGCTACGATGCCACACAAGGACAGAAACAGGATGCGCACCCCCTGCCTGGTTAACATGAGTTTATTTAAGATGTTCTTGCCAGATGTGTTAGTTCGGTGCCATTATTACTTTTTTGCATGTGGTCACTGCTTGTTTGTCTGGAGCTTTTGGCTGTGAGTGCGCCAGGCCCTCTCATGTCAGACAATTTCGATGGTCTGACCACAGTAATATGAACACATGTCCTTGCTAGCAAAAATGCGATCATTGTGCGAGAAGGCGTACAAAAATGCCCGTGCTGAAGTGACGCCTAACCCAGTGCCAGGGAAAGCACCCAGGGATTTTGAGGAAATGGCAAGGGGTTTTGGGGAAGCCAGACTACTGCCTGAACAATCCCTATTCCGCTTGTTGTGGGCTTGTAATGCCGAATGCCTACCAGGATCAGCACAGCATTTGCTATCCTCGACTTCGTGGACCCGCACGCTTGACTGAGGGTTAGTTGATTAGCTACTTCATTACCCGATAAGAAACCAACACAGGAATTTGTAATACGGAGTTCGTAATAACCTTTATTGATCTATCAATCTCTGATCACAATCCTGTCAATGTATTCCTAAACGTAAAAGATCGACAGCATGAAAAACACACGAGCCACATAAAACAAAGCTGCGATCGAAGACCCAGACCCAAAAAAGCCGGATCACATGGACCTGACGGCGTGAGAGCTTTACACTTCTCCAACAATGGTGCCGGTCTGATCACGGTTGCCCGCTCGCCGTGCATAGTCCCGATTTTGTCTTGGTGCGCATCCCCCAATAAACCAGAGAAGTCATCACACGACCCACAGGCGCCCTTCCCGCCCGTCAGATTGGCTCTGGCCCGGTTGGCCGGGTCAGCTCATCAGCCACCTCGGAGTGGCGTCCAGCCGCTCAGACAAGCGCACTGCCGTCCGCGCCAGCCCGCCTTATAAGACGCGCGGCTGAGCCGCTGCTAGCGCGGTTTGGCGGCGCTGCCCCCCCCCCCCCAAAAAAAAAAACCAAGCGACAATCCCCGCACCTTGCCCAAGCGGCTTCAGTTGGCCAGGAGTGATGCCGGTCGGTGCAGACGAGCGTCCCTCGGCGGCGACGCTCGCGCGGGATCACGCCGACTCGGCGCCCAGCACCGCCCGCCCAGAGCCCGTCACGCTGGCTCGGTATTATGTGGACGGGCGTGCAAAAGGGGGGCTTCTAGCTCAAACCGGTCTCGGGAATGTTCTGAGCGCCGCGGCAGCAGCAGCGCGGGGGTCGGCGCGGGCACAGGCGTCGCCCCATGCACGTGATCCCAGCCCAGCCAGCGGGCGGTCGGCGAGGG